GGAGATGAAAAATAATGGTTAATATTGCATAGAGCTTTGGATCAAATTCCACCTGCTTTTCCGCAAATGGAAACCCAGAGAAGCTCAGTGAAGTTTCAAGATTTTAGAGCAGAAATTGTTCCAGATTCCTCAAAGCCCCAAATTTGGTCTTCAAAAGAAAAAATGCCTGTTATCTCATGTGCAGCAAGGGTGGATATTAATTTAATAGAAGCAGAAGAGTATTATCACTGGTCATTTTGGAAGGCATTGGAGTGTAGCTCCTGCATCCAAAGATGTTGCTAGGAACTAGATGTAAATGGCCGTCCAATTCTTCAAGAGCAAGGGCATTTTTTCATGTGTTCCTGATGTGGTGCCAGGCACTTTTAATGAGTGAGCCATGCTAATTAAAAGCATCCAAGTGTCACATGTACCAGCAGTGCAGCATGCCTCCATGCTGAGAAAATGGCAGTGGTGCGCTTTGAACTAAAGCGCATCGAATTTTAGTTCAAAGTGCACCACTGCCATTTTCTCAGCACAGAGGTGCACTGTACCACTGATGCACATGACACATGAGGTTGCCAGAGCGCATCAATTTATGTGTGCCAGCAGACTCGATTAATCTGTCTGACGCACTGGATTTCCAGTGTGTCAGAACAAGCTTCCTGCAGATGTGCAAATGCCCCAAGTTTCTGAAGCATGCAAGTGGTTGATCTCATGACCAATAAGCAATTTATCTTATGCCAGAAAGAGAAAAAGAAGGCCACTTACAAGGTTATCTTCTTGCTTCTGCTTGGACTTGATCTAGGTTATCTGTGATAAAAGGAGGTAGGAGAGAAAAGGAGGTACTGGATGGTAAGTTGGTATGGTATGAATCAGGGGCAGAGTCTTGTAGGGTATACCAGTTAAAAGGAGAAACTAGATATAGTCTTGTATCTTTTAACTCTAATTCTGCTCGTTTCCAAGAAAGTACAAAGTCCTGGGGCATATGAGGACTCAAATGTTGTTACGTAGGCATTTATATTTTGCTCAGTCTGGTATTTAAGTGCCTAATGGCACAGAGTAGCATTAACACAAACAAGAAATAAATCATAGTATCATTCCACTAGCAGCTCTAATTATAAAGCTAATGTAGGTCAATGAGGTACTGCAGGGGTACAAAATCTTGTACAATTTAACAAGACTTCAAAATACTGAATGTGAAAGCTGGATTTCATGTAACCTTTTTTTTCTAGCTTTATGAAACATGTTAACTCCCTTTCATTTAAACCAACGAGTTTAAGGGAAGTTTTAATTTTCTGTAATGTAATGTTCTCATTTTATAAAACTTTCTAAATTTTAATTTTCTTGGTTAGATATTTTGAACCAGGGTAGATGCCCTATGTTAAACAAATGTTAACAGTTCCAACTGTGTAGTATTTCTTCCAGGATTACCAAATTGTGGCCAGGATTTTCTAAAGTGACTAGTGATTATGGAGAACTCTTTTCTTCTTCTATTTTTTTTTCTTTTCAGAAAATGCTGAGTAACTGTCCTTTGAAAATCAAGGCTCTCAAATTGCTCTCCCAAACTCACCAGGTGCTAGAGGTAGTAAGACATGTTATCCTGAAGACGGGCAGAAGGTAGGGCAGGGTGGCAACTTGGGGCATTTATAGCTGTTACATTTTTCTAGGTTTATCTGGACTACAGCTGTCACTATATACATGTGGATGTCTGTAGTCCAAATTAAAATTGGCTCCAGTCCAAATTAACTAATTTAACTAACTGAATGAGAATTAAAATTAATGAGGACTAAGGCAGTCCAAATTAGGCAAGTTAAACTTTATTAATTAGCAGGTATATGAGGGGTTGCTTTTAGGAAAAGCAATCCTTAGGAACTCAGATAAGCATAGCAAATATCAGTCCCCTCAAGACAATCAGGACTGGTAGTAGAGATGATATCTTTTATTAGACCAACAAGATTTTTGCAAAAAAAAAAGTCTTTAATTGCAAGATTTCAAGCAGAAACACCCTTCATTAGGCATTGGAGAAAAAATTGTAAAAAATCTTTTCTCCAATGCCTGATGAAGGGTGTTTGTGCCTGAAAGCTTGCAATTAAAGAACTTTTTGCAAAAATCTTGTTGATCTAATAGAAGATATCATCTCTACTATGAGTCCTGATTGCCTTTTCCTCTAGACCAATACAGCTACAACCTGGATACCAAACCCCTCAAGGGAAACTTAATTGGGTTTTTGCAACACAACATAGCTATCCGGGATCAAACCTGTACAAAGCCAAATGTGCCAACAGTACCTCACCGGGACTAAACATCAGGTCTTGCACAGCACTTAAGATAACTGCAACAATGTAGCAATGTTTAAGCAGGCTTATTATTGCCTCCTAATTATTTCCAACAGCAGTGAATTGGGTCTGTTAAGGAGCTGTACAATGATCATCGGTTAACTCTTAATTTAAATTTAAATTTGATTTTAACTGTGATACAAATCAGTTAATGTGGTTTAGAAAATGCTGAGCTTGTCTACAGACAGGCTTGGAGACTAGCTGGCTCAAAGTGGCATGAGTTTTCATCAGCAACAACCTACTTCATCAGATGTGTTACATCAGACAGTAGAAAATGTTGGCTGGAACAAACCCCGTAGACTGCGCAGAAGCCTAAAATCAATGCTTTCTTACAGCCAAAATGAAGCCACTCTGAAAATGCTGAAATACCTTCTTTATCTAAAAGCTGTAACTTTCAAATGGGGTCTTCTTAGTAATAATAATAATAAGAGGGGATCTGGTCCATGTAGGGCTCCCCAGGGGTCCGCAAATTTAGCAGAGGGGGAGCTGTGGCAGCATTAATTGTTATGGCTTTGAATGCTGCCACAGCTCCCCTGCAGTCAAATTTCCAAATATGTGGGGAGCCAGGGCTGAGCCAGCATACGGACTCACCCCACAGCCAGATCCAATGCTCTACCACCAGAGCCGGCACACTGGATCACGCCCCCAGATTAACCCTGTGTCAGATCAGGCCCACGGACCAGACCCCTGCCATTCATCCAGTCTGCAGGGCTGGTTAGGTTCAGCACCACTGGTCTAGGCCTTCTCTGGTGTTGAACTGGTCTGGGTGAATGAAGGCTTATTTTTAGTGCTTTATTGTATTAAGTCTATTGTCCACTGTAACCCCCAGGTCCTTTTTTGCAGAGCTCCTTCTTGGCCAGTCAGTTCCCAGCCTGTACCAGTGCATGGGAATGTTTTGTCCTAAGTTCAGGAGTTTGCATTTGTCCTTGTTGAACCTCATGAGATTTATTTTGTTTCAAACCTCTATTTTCTCAAGGTCTCTCTGAATCCTAGCCCTACCCTCCAGCATATTTACTACTCCACCCTGCTTGGTGTCATCTGCAGACTTGCTGAGGGTGCACTCTGTGAAATCTTCCAGGTCATTGATGAAGATATTGAACAAAACTGGGGCAGCAGGGCAGACCCTATGAGGAGTGGCTATGGGACCTGAACCTGTTCAGCCTCCACAAGAGAAGTGGCCGTCTGTGAACTTACCAAGGGGGACCAGCAGGGAATGGGAGAGACCCTGTTCCCCCGAGCACTACCAGGAGTAACTAGGAATAATGGCCATAAGTTGACTGAGAGTAGGTTCAGGCTGGACATCAGGAAGCACTACTTCACAGTCAGGGCGGCTAGGATCTGGAACCAACTTCCAAGGGAAATGGTGCCCGCTCCTACCCTGGGGGTCTTCAAAAGGAGGCTAGATAGACACCTTGCTGGGGTCGTTTGACCCCAGTACTCTTTCCTGCCCAGGGCAGGGGGTCGGACTTGAAGATCTGCTCAGGTCCCTTCTGACCCTACCTACTATGAAACTATTATGTCTATAGAAGTGCAAGTCAGCAAACTTGTGACATAAGGATCTGGACCAAAATCCTTTTTTTGAGTCCACAAGGTAGATCTTGGCTCTGATCTTGTGCCATCCCAATGTGTGTGTGAATTCCCAGCAGCATCCTGGAGACATGATTCATCTACCATGAGGATTGAAAGGAAAATAATAACTGGCTGCTTTTTATTGTTTAAAAACCCAGGCTCTTAGGACATGTTATGCATGTGGTACATAAAGTAGTAATGGAGTAAAAGTTTTGTGACTTTTTTTTATTGTCTTGCAGCATTTTGTATTTTTAGTAAACTCCCAGCTCTGGGAGGCCAGTAATTTATGTAGAATTTCAGCTTTCATTTATTTGTTTTTAGAAAGTGATTTAAGGTGTCACAGAGGAGGGTAACCTGAATGTGGCTAAAGTGCAGGGGTCAGCAACCTATGGCTTGTGGGCTGGATCCAGGCTGCAACAGTTCAGGAACTCAGCAGCAAGCTCCAGCCTTAGCAGCAGAAGATGCATTCCCCATTTTCTGCTGCCTGCTGGATTCAGTTTACTCTTTCCACAGCCACAGCCCCAGAGTCTTGCCTTGTCCCCCCTTCCCTCTGCAGTATCTGCTGCTCACCAGAGAACATGGGGATCTGCAGCCAGTGCCAGGAGCTATGTTGCAACCAGCCTGGGGCAGCAAAAAGGTAGACATCCCCTCATCTAAAGGCTCACATACCAGAAGGAAGTGCAAAAGTATCCAGTGTTGTTATATAATACTCATATTTGAATCATAATATTTTTAAAGCTCATGCTTCTTTTGGAAAAGCATCTCATGATGCTGAAAGTTTGGAGTTGGCAATACTGAAATAATAATACTTTGCACTCCCATAGCAGTCTGCCTCTTCAAAGCTCCATGCAAACATTCATTCATTAGTCATCCTCCTGTGAGGTAAGGATTGTTCTTTCTGTTACCAGTGGGGAGACAGAGACACAAGCGATATTTTGACTTGGCCAGGGCCACACAGTGAGTCACTGGCAGGGTTCCATGCTCAGGCTACTTAAACCCAATCCATTTGTAAGCACATAAATAAGTGGAAGAGGGCTCTTGACATTCTACCAACCCATCCCTGGCACAAAGAGTATGCAGTCTTAAATTTTAAGTGTCATCCATTTTTGGTTGCAGGATTGCTTCTCAATGACCAATATCTCCTGGTATGGAGGAGCAAGTGTAAGTGCCCAGCGCTGGCCCCTGAACAACATGAATGCAAAATCCCAGCCATATATTATCAGCAACCTCCACAAAAATCCCATTGGCTATGGTCCTGTCCTGGAAAGATACTTTTTGGGATCAACAGGTAAGACAAATTTTCTTCCTCCTATAACTTTTTACTATTGTTGGCAATACATTGCTCCCACACAGTTTTGAACGTGAGGAGTTATCTTTGCTGAAAGCAGGAAGATGGGCCTGGACCATCACGGTTATACCCCATAAAGTATTACAGATTCATCAATTGACTGAACAGTCACTAGGAGACAAACAAACATGATTTTTTTTCCTAATAAGGTGTGCCCACCAGTAATATTACACTGCAGTGGTAGCCTTGCTTATGAATCTAGTTTCTCATGTGGAAATGAGCTCCTGAAAGTTGTGATTCAGTGGTAAAAATTCATCTCCATTGATCTGCTGGTGTCACATGCATATAATGAAGTCATGAGACTGAATGGCCTGTCCTCTTTCTTTTTCACTTTATCTCACAGTGGAACTCATTGCTTTCTTAGGTTATTTTGACTGAAAATGAAAAAGGTCTGGATAATTATGGACATCTTTACATGTGCTCTGGGGGTGAAGTGAGTGGCACTTTAATTAGAGCGGCTCTTGGGAGCCACTTCCCTGTGCTACAAAATGGTGGCAGGGGCACTTTAACTAAAGCTCCTTTGACTTTTTGAAGCATGGGGATGTGGGATACATGAGATGCCGAGGCTGCTGAAGCATGCTGATTAGCATGCTCCAGCAGACTCAATTAAGTCTGCTCCAAGATGCTGTAATTACAGCACATCAGAGCAGGCATCCTGCACATCTACAGGCACCTCATATGAGTACTAACACCTCTTAATTCTTCATAATAGCTAAATGGTAAAAGGATACTTCGATTTTTGTGCTTCAGCGTGTAAGCAGATCATCTGGAAAAGCAAGTCGGGAATTTGCACCCCAGTTCCAAAATACAGTCCTGACCCAGTGTCTAGGGGTAGTATCAGCATCTTATACACCTTCCCCTGAAGCCCTAGGTAGAGGCACTGCCAAGAACAAGATCATTATCCCATGCTGTCAGGTACCTCTCTTGGCAGGAGATTCTTCCATTTATTCCTTGCAATGCCTGCCAACCTAACAAAATCATTTAATGGGGGCAGCCCAGAGAGAAGGAACTGAATAGCCCTTAGCAGCTGGCAGCAAGCATGAGGGCATGTGGCCTACATGCTTATGTCTCTAGGGGCATAGGCTACTGAAGTTCACAGACGATAACTTCTGCTGCTATTTTGGCTGTAGAGTCAGCCATGGAAGTTCTCCCCCCTTTCATTGATGCAGAAAGTGAGCAGAACAGATTAAATGAGGCCACATGAGGGTATGTGAGAATACTTGGGAGGGTTTTCTTGCCTGTCATGAAAAACTCCACAAAACCTTTATCAAATTGTCTCTTTGAAGCCCTCAGTCTTCACTGCCTTGCATTATAGGTAATCACAGAGATAGTTATATCTCTGTAATAGGAAAATTATCTGGAAAATTTCCACCCAAACTATTTTGTGTAGTTCTGGCAACAATGATTTGTTTTCATTGTTGCAATATATTGATTTTTCCCCTAACACTGCCTGTGAGGGGAAAGCTCCCCCCACCAGCCCCCATCATTGAGAATGATTCATTTTGAAGAATTTCAAGGTTTTGTGCCAAACTCCATTCCTTTTTATGTTTCTGTAGGTTTTTCACATTGTTTCATGTAGGCCACAATGCACAAGTGACCTGTCGGAATAGCAGAAATGTTTATTCTTAATCTGATTAAGGGCAGTGGCTGCTTAGCACTGATTGAAACATCTCATTTACTTTTCCGGATCAAAGCATCTCCCTGTCTGTGTTGTGATGAAACACTGAAATTGTGGCAAGCAGGTGTCTTTGCAGGTCATTAGCCTGACCCTTTTTCAAGGTCCATGTGTCCTTAGTCAGAGGAACCCTATGACTTCCTGCTTAGTCACTGGCCTTGGTAACTTTTGGATGATCTTGAACGTCTCTGCAGATCTTCCCCTGCTCTCCTTCCCTCCTCTCCTCCAAGACTGTCTCTGCCAGCTGGCATGCCACCCACAGTAGAAGCTCCGTTCCTCAGCTGCCTGGGAGAGGGGGCTAAGTGTTGCCTTCTAGCTGGTTTATAGCATCCCTTGGTCACCCTGTTAGTTAGGACCCTCTGCTTATTCTTTTCTTCCTTATTCCACTCCCCCAGTATGGTCCTGGACAAATTTTCTTTCTCCCCTAGCCTCTGCTTCAGCTGGCATCTAGCCCTCTTTCACTCTACTAGCCTCCATGGCTTGCACTTATCGTGCCCTCATCCCCAAGCCTCAAATATTACTACGTTTTCTCATAACCAGCCCCCCCACCTCCTCAAATAAAACATGCCTCTTGGTTTGGGACGGCAGAATATAGAATCCTGCCTCCCCACGCAAAGTCTTGACTGTGTGACATAGGGTAAGTCCTCCTGGGAACAGAGTGCTCAGGAAGTGTGGCACCCCAGGAGATGGTCTGGTCAGGTAGCAAGAGCTTCCTGGGGGGCTGCCTCCTGGGTTGCCACACTTCCTAGACAGTCTGTGTTTTCAGGAGGACTTCCTCTATGACACAAGTTAGGCCCCAGACTAGGAGTCAGCAATGTTTTTGCGCAGAGAGCCAAAAACACCCACAACCTCAACTTGTAAGATGTTGGCATGCCAGGGCAGATGGCAGGGGAGCCATGAGGGGCATGATCCTTGTGGCAGCATTGGTGATGCATAGGGGGTGCACGCGGGTGCACGTGCACCCCCTGAGTGTGGCGGTACACCCCTGTGAAAAGGCACCACCGACACAATCGGTGGTACTTGCAGGTGGTCGCTATTCACATCCCCCTCCCTCTCGCCGCCAACTCTGCTGGCAGCCTGGGCAGGCGGTCCATGATCGCCGCTCGCTGCCGCCGATACTGCCGGCAGCATCTGTGGGTGGTCGCTGACCGCTGGTCAGTGCTCACCCCCCCACCGCTGACAGCGCTGTGGCTGCTTGTGGGAGCTCCCCTCTTGCCATTGCCATGCTCCCGCCACCAACAGCACTGCCGCCACCTGTGAGAGCTCACCATGCCCCCCAGCCTCTGGGGGCACACAGCGTTCATGTGTGGCAGTACAGCCCCAGCCCCTTCCCCACCATCCACCCCAAGGTGCACATACCAAGTAAATGCCTTTGTGTGCACATGTGCTGGTCCCTGCCCCAAACCATTGCAAAGGGCAGTAGCAAGACTGTTATTTCTTTACTCTAAATAATATTTTATATAGTACTACTTTATCTAAGTTTACTACCAGCAGCTCGCTTGCTGCTGCAGGCACAAGCTACAGTGCTCAGCCAGTAGCTACAGCTGTGAGGGGGCATAACACAGGACTCCACTTTTTAGCTTGCTGAGCCAAACAAGCATCAGCCACCTTGGCAGCTGCATGACATGCACAATGTCTCCAAGCAGGTTTCTTTTCCAGCAAAGAAAACAGCTTCCTCACTTAATAGATGCACCCCAGTTTTGGTGAACCATTTTTGGGGGGAAAAGTACATCTTGTGTGTGAGAAAATATGATAATTCAGAAATAACTAAAGAGAATGGGAAAGTCATGGACTAAAAGTGTTCCCTGAGGCACAATCATAAAAAAGAGCCCAGGAGTAGCTTTAAGAGACTCCTGATTGACAGGGCCATCCTACCTTCCTCCTTCATCTCAATGAGAAGCTGCTCACCTCTCTCACTACTACTAATGAAAGACCACATCTGGCTGGCATATACAAGAAAGCAGGAGCCAAGACTCAACCTGGTAATCGTCCCCCTGCCTCTCCCAATCCTAACATGCTGCAGGAACAGCATAGGCAGACAAGCAAGTAACCCAACTGTTGTATTTGACCAAGTGCAGCCATAAGTAAAATGACACAAGCCACTAATTTGGGTAAGAGTGCTGCCATGCTAGCCAGCACTGAATCTATTTGAATATAAAGTAAAACTAGGAATTAGTTGCCATCAAGAGATTCAACCAACAAATCTGAAACTTCAGATTCCCATGTGCACATTCAGCTCATCCATTCAAGTATCTCGCATCAGCCAGCTTATATGCTTCTGGTCCAACATTGCCTGCAGCGCTGTATTAATGGAGGTACCTCCTACCTCCTCCTTGTTTGCACAAACATGTTTTCTGAGTCAGAAGCTAAGCTAATGTTTCATATTGTTGCTAACCCCCATGGTTTTATGCTGAGTCTGGGGGTGGATTGGGGTGGGGAGAGAGGTGTACATGGATGCAGTTGCACCCCTTGACTCTGATTACTGCTGTACCCAAGGTTTAAAACCAAACTGGCTGGGAAGGGGGCAGTACCACTTCTGTTCAGGAAGCACTGAGGGAATCAACTGACTTCATAGCTCATGATCTATCTGGTTCCTGCTAATTTCTCTTTTTTCCATAGATGTTAAAACCCTCTCTCTTTGTTAATGGTTTCATAGATTTTATAGATTTCATAAACATTAGGGCTGGAAGGGACCTCGGAAGATCATTGAGTCCAGCCCCCTGCCCTAGGGGCAGGAAGTCAGCTGCGGTCATAGGATCCCAGCAAGATAAGCATCCAATTTGCTCTTGAAGGTGTTCAATGTAGGTGCTTGAACCACCTCCGATGGCAGGCTGTTCCAGACCTTGGGGGCTTGGACAGTGAAGAAATTCTTCCTTATGTCCAGCCTGAAAGAGAGTCTTGCAGTAGTTTATAACTGTTCGACCTTGTCATCCTTTGGGGCATGGTGGTGAACAAACGTTCCCCCAGATCCTGGTGGTCACCCCTGATAAACTTACAGGTGGCCATCAGATCACCCCTGAGCCTGCGCTTTTCCAGGCTAAAGAGCCCCATGGCTCTCAGCCTGTCGTCGTAAGGTTTGTTTTCCTGACCTCTGATCATGCGCGTGGCTCTTCTCTGGACTCTCTCAAGCTTCTCCACATCCTCTTTGAATTGTGGGGCCCAAAACTGGACGCAATACTCCAGCTGCGGCCTCACCAAGGCCAAGTATAAGGAAAGAATGACGTCCTGGGATTTGTCTGAGAAGCATCTATGGATGCAAGCCAG